TACACACACACACACACACACGCATGCGCACACGCATGCACACACACACACTCACACACACACACTCACACTCACACTCACACGCATGCACACACACACGCGCGCACACACACACACTCACTCATACACTCACACACACACACACTCACACACACACACACACTCACACGCATGCACACACACACACACACACACACACACACACACACTCACACTCACACACATCATTATTCTTGCAAATAAATCTTGAACATAAATGATCACAGATCCTCATGATTAAGACGCTGTTTCTATGTTCATTTCATTTAGAGTTAGTCCTGCATGTAATACATTCAGCCATGATGATGTTTCATGCAGTCCTCTGCAAACGAGATCATTGATGATCATTTGTCTGCCGGGCTTCATGACGGATGAGAATCATATTATGAACAAAATGATTCTGATTCTGATTCCACTGAATGATTCCGACTCCTGAATGATTCAATTAGTGCAGGTGTTTCCAAATGAAGGGAACTGCAGGGGGTTTGTGAGTTGATATGAGCTAATAAACAACTATTAAAAAAATTAAAAAAAATAATTAGGTCTGCATGATAATTGTGATGAAGCCTGCAATTTAATTAAATAACTTTAGAGTCTAATGCAATTCATAATTATCAAATATTCTTTTTTATTTTATAGTACAATTGTACTGTACAACTGTAATACATTTCTGTATTTATTTTTATAATTAGCATTAAAACATACTACTACTACTGTAATTATACATTTAAATACGGAGTAATATTAATTAACTACTTACTCTATGGTTAGGGTTAGGATTAGGGGTTGGCTTAGCGTAACTTGCATGTAATTATGCATAATTTGTTATTATAATAGTAAGTACATGTAACGTGTAACAAGGACACCTTAAAATAAAGTGTTGCCCTAATAATAATAATTATTATTATTATTATCTTAATGTTTATTAACATCAGAGATTTGTGAACATGCAAATGTGTTTATGTACTTATTTATGTACTTTACTGTATATTGTACTGTACTTTACAACAGCAATATATATTTGTGTTTACTTTTTTTATTTTAAATAAAATATAATGCTAATAATTGTTTTACACTTTTAACAATTAAAAATTTTTTTTTATTATTGACAGAAGAGAACTGTAAACATGCAAATGTGTCATTATATTATTGGACATTTTAACTTAAAATCTCAGGGGGACTTCAGGAAAATATTTAACGTCTAAGGGGTTCGGCTGATAAAAACTGTTCAGGAATTGTTGCTTCAGGGAGTCGTTCTAAGTTTTTAGGAAGTGTTAGGCATCCTCACCTCTCCTGATTGGCTCCTGCCGTCTCGTCTGATTGGTGGAGAGCAGTAATGGTGGAACACAGATCCTGATAGATTATCAATCATCTGCATTTCTCCATCCATTGAAGGAGAGGCATTACTGGTTTGATTACTAACGAGAGACGCTGATTTCCAGTGACGTGAGTGACAGCGGTGGTCAGTGATGTCATCAAGAGTCTTTATGTAAATGAAGCAGCAGCTATCAATAGGAGTGAAGGAATCATAAACCCATGTGTATTTGTTTCTGTGAATTCTTGATAATTTTTAGCAGCAAGAAAACGGAGTCTTTGTTAAACTAGAGCGACATCTTATTTTCATCCACGCTGGATGTTTTTCATGATCAGACTGTCTAGTGCTGTCAAATGATTAATCGTGATTATTCGCGATTAATCGCATCCAAAATAAGTTTTTGTTTAAACAAATAAACAAAATTTAAACAATAAACAAAAAAAGTTTTTGTTTACATAATATATGTGTGTAGTACTGTGTACATTTATTATGTATATACAAATACACACACATACAATATATATTTTGAAAATATTAGCATATATTTATATGTATATATTTATATTTATATAACGTATATTTCTAAATATATAAACCGAACATATTTTTCTTAAATATATATATGCATAATGAATATACACAGTACACACACATATATTAAGTAAACAAAAACTTTTATATCGGATGCGATTAATCGCGATATATTTATATAACGTATATTTCTAAATATATAAACCGAACATATTTTTCTTAAATATATATATATGCATAATGAATATACACAGTACACACACATATATTAAGTAAACAAAAACTTTTATATCGGATGCGATTAATCGCGATTAATCGTTTGACAGCACTAAGACTGTCTAAAGTCCAGCAGTGTGAACGCTCACCGCGAGCAGCAATAAATCACTGTCAGTGTGAACGAGACATCAGTGTGTGATTCACTGCTCATCACATGTGGACAGATTGTTTTGTGTTTCAGCTGCGACTTCATTTCCTCTGATGACTCACAATGTGTCTCCATTAACACACACACAGACACACACACTCACACACAGACACACAGACACACACACACTCACACACTCACACACACACACACACACACACACACACTTGCGTACACGATCACTGCGGGCCATCAGATGTCAGGGAGGAAATTTACAATCACTCAGTGTAATGACTCATGAGAGATTTATGACCGCTGTGCCGCTTCAAAAACAAAACATTTACAGTCAGACTATAGGGGAATATTATCATCTCTGTTCACCAATGTGTCTCCATTAACACACACACAGACACACACACTCACACACAGACACACAGACACACACACACTCACACACTCACACACACACACACACACACACACACACACTTGCGTACACGATCACTGCGGGCCATCAGATGTCAGGGAGGAAATTTACAATCACTCAGTGTAATGACTCATGAGAGATTTATGACCGCTGTGCCGCTTCAAAAACAAAACATTTACAGTCAGACTATAGGGGAATATTATCATCTCTGTTCACGAATACACCTGCTCTAATGACACCAATCTACACACACTCAAACACACAAGTACAGTGCGTAAATCACACTTGACAAAAGAAGCTCCGTCAGTGCATCAGATATGAAGTAGAAGTTCATCTGCTGCCGTGAATCAGTCTTAAAGTTTGAGATGAGTTCAGGTTTTAGAGTCCGTTCACACCACAAATGATACACGTGTTTTGCTTGACTTGTGCTTCCACCCATTGTTACTGCAATGTTTTACTTTAGATATGCTTTCATTTCTGCCGTTTGGAACGCAGTATGTATATTAGATGCACAAAACTCACATATGGACAGACTTTCACGTGCGCTTTGTGTTCGTTGTCCTGAAGAGCGATCGCGGCTGCGGTTAAACGCACTTGCATCTCTGAATACTTTTATGATACGAAATTGATGTAAACCCATAATTAGGATTGTCTGTAAACTTTCAGATACTTAAAGCACTCTCAGGGTGTGTTCACACTCTTAGTTAGGGTCGTTTGGTTCATTTGGTCCGGACCAAAAAGGAAAATGATACTTTGGTCCTGGTCCGCTTAGTGTTCACATTGGCATTTTTGACAGCGAACCTAAAGGCATAGTGATACGTTCACAACCTGATTGGTCGGCTTGAATGACGTATATAACACCCCAAACAAAAGATGCGTTAGACTTATAGACTTAAACACTTAAAGTGTATGATATCAAAGCACCGATTAACAGATCGGTCTGCTCAGCGCCGCTTTAAGTCGAACACACCTAATGCTGTCTGCTGGACTAAGCGTGCTCATTCTTGCGTGTACATATAATTTTATTTTCACCACCTGCAAACTCTCAAGAAGCTCATAAAAGGCACTTTACCTCATCGTTGCTCCACGTTTGCCTTCTGCTCATTTTGTTTTGGTTACACCGCATCGTCAAATCATGTGGCATAGCGTCGCATCTTGTCATTACTTCCTGTTTTTGGTTCGTTTAGAAGTCTTTGGTCCGTGTTGTGTTAATATATCATTCAAACTGCAACAGAGTTCATTTGGAAGCGGACGGAGACCCATCTTTTTAGCGGTCTCGGTCCGCTTGTTTGGTGCACACCAGGGTTCGGATGTCAGCGTTCACACTTACTCAAACGAACCGCACTAACAGAGCAATCGCACCAGGGTTAGTTTTAATCGAACCAAACATGACAAGTGTGAACGCACCCTCAGATACTGAAGGTACTTGCAATGGTCTTTTTCACCCTTTATTACTTTATATTTGCGTGTATGTTTTGAAGCTATATTTAGTTGGTTAAATTCTTAACCATTTTTCTGATTTATTATTCATTTGTAATTATTTTAAAAAGTAGCCTGCTTATATAATTTAATAAAAATGCACAAAATAATTGTGATACCATCGTGATGCATCGTGATATCAAATAGTTGACATGATAATCGTAATCTAATCGAATCGTGAAACCAGTGACGATCCACAGCCCTATTCAGGATCGACACACACCTGTGCCGGTGAGTAGAGTCTCCTCTGGTCCTGTGTGAATCCGCTCTGGCTGGTGTTAGTGTTGGTGTGAATCGATGGCCTCTCGCCCGCATCGGCCCCAGTCGAGCACTCCGGATGCCCCAGACAGCTCAGGCCACCCTGCGCCAGCTCCATCTCGATCTCCGCGTCCATCTCCGCGTCCTCCTGCGCCTCTTTATTGGAGTCGTCCAGGTGCTTCATCAGTACAGCCACCACCACGTTAATCAGGACGAACTGAGCCGTCAGAACGAAGCTGACGAAGTACATGGGCGAGATGATCTGCAGGCTGGAGTTACACGAGTAGCTGTCGCCCGGCGGACACTCGCGCAGCGTGTCCTGTGAGCAAAGACACACTAATGACTAACGATTGTCCAGTTCTGATCATTTCATCCTCACCAGTGCAAAACGACTAAAAGGGAAACCACGAAATCAGCTCAATATCTCTCATGCATCACAGCTGTTGGTCGCACTGCAGAGTGTCCCATCTGGCGCTGTTTCACATACTGTCTGTTTTTGCTTCAGGCGAGACACTACAGTTTTTCCAGATCTTACGGCATCCTCCCGGAGCTGCTTCCATGTACAACTGTTGGCGCAAGCTAGATTAAACTGATTATTACGTTTTGAATATGGATATTTTTCTTACAAAAATGCATCGATTCGCTACAGGAGGCCTTTGTTCATCCCCCGGAGCATGTGAGACACTTTTTATTATGGATGCATGTGCTTTATTTCACTTCTTTTGGACTGATGCACTGCAACCTCCGCTGACTGCCATTAAACAGCTTGAAAGATTAAAGACCATTTTTTATATGACTTCGACTGGACTGAAAGAAGAAAGTCATATACACCTAGGATGCCTTGAGGGTGAGTAATTCATGGGCTAATTTTAATTTTTGGGTGAACTAACCTTTAAGTGTTTGTTTTACTACACTGTATTTATTTTCATCAGTAGATTTCAGTTTTTTTTTAATCCATACTGGAAGGCTGTGAGTTTTTTCTCCACTTCAGCAGCAGTTAATCGAACCAAACTTTATTTTTATTCCTTTAAACTTTAAAGTTTTATTCCTATCTATTAAACTTTATTTTTATTCCTATCCATATTTTGAAAGGTTTTATCTGGTTTGTTCATGCATCATTCACCTGATATACAGTGGGTACGGAAAGTATTCAGACCCCCTTAAATTTTTCACTCTTTGTTATATTGCAGCCATTTGCTAAAATCATTTAAGTACATTTTTTTTCCTCATTAATGTACACACAGCACCCCATATTGACAGAAAAACACAGAATTGTTGACATTTTTGCAGATTTATTAAAAAAGAAAAACTGAAATATCACATGGTCCTAAGTATTCAGACCCTTTGCTGTGACACTCATATATTTAACTCAGGGGCTGTCCATTTCTTCTGATCAGCCTTGAGATGGTTCTACACCTTCATTTGAGTCAAGCTGTGTTTGATTATACTGATTTGACTTGATTAGGAAAGCCACATATTCCTAAAAACAAGGTGAACATTTATTTGTTTTCTGTCTGTTGACACTATTTTCTGATTTATGGAGTGATAAAAAGAGAAATCTCAAATGTAAAGTATTACGATCAGTGGCGGCTCGTAGATATTAAATTAGAGGAGGCACACTAAACTGCAGCGATCCCTACTCTGACTCTGTTTTTTTCTTTCAACTGCTCAATAAAAGCCTTCTTTTGGTCACGTTTATGTACGAAAATTACATGTTTACTACAAGACAAATGCATCCTCCTGTCCTTTAAAGCAGCAAAGGTGTCTATGACTCATAGAATACAACCTGTCTTCTTCAGTTCATCAATTATGGCTTATCCGTCATCAATTAAGGTCAGCCACTCTAAAACAGCAAATTCGGCCGTCTAATGAAGATGCTTTTATGTCCAGCTTAGGCATGGGCCTTCCTTCATTTTTTATTTTTAGCTGCTGCTCGAAAGGGAGCTTTGAAAATGTGTTGGTGATTAAATATTCAATATCTCTCCATGGTGACTGGTTGATAAACCAAGAGAAGTTATCCATTATTTCTATATTTAAACCAATGAGAAATAGAGCCGCTCTGCTGACTAAGTCAAATACTCAATGGTGATTGGTTAATTTTTAATCAATGGAGGCCAAAGTCTCCAGCTATGGATTGTGCTTCACTCCTGTCTTTCTCCAGACATCCATGAGGAAGAGCAGCAGTAAAACACATGGCATTCCAGCTTCAGTAATATGTTATGGTTTGCAACGGTGAAATTACAAGGAATACACATTCTGAACTTGTACTTTTGAGAAGGCTGTGCCTCCCCTGAGGAGCTGCCACTGATTATGATATCTATTAAGTTAAATTTTTACACTATTCACCTGTGATGTCTTGCCTTAATTCAGCATAATGCAGCAAAATTATTAATCAATGCAATCTTTACAACTGTTTATCAAGCAGCACAACACATCAATTACTCACCTATTAGTGAAAAGCAAATAAAGAACTATTGTTGGAGGAAGAAGAAAAACTGCACTCTGTTACAGTGACTGAATGCAGCTGATTTACTGTCTGTAGTTTGGGGTTTGTGTTCATGTAAAGGCTCAGTGACAGCAGCGTGAGCTCTACCTTCATGATGCCGTTCCAGTTATCTCCTGTAGACACCTGGAAGAGAGTGAGGAACGCCATGCCGAAGTTTTCAAACGTGGCGTGACGACTCATGCCTTCACACGGGTATTCAACATTACACACTGAAACACAGACACACAGAGAGACATGACATGTGACAGAAATAACAGCAAGATTTAAAAATATTCAAGAATCTCATGAAGTAATCACATTTTATTTTAGTTGCTTCATATTTATTCATAATGCTCACCAAGGCTGCAATTATTTGTTTAAAAACAAATACATTTTATTGCAATTTAATATAGCAGTATTCTATGTGAATATCTGTTAAGCTGTAATGTATTTCTGTGATGCGCAGCTGTATTTTCAGCATCATTACTCCAGTCTTCAGTGTCACATGATCTTCAGAAATCAGTATAATATGCTGATTTGCTGCTCAAGAAACATTTCTGATTATTATCAATGTTGAAAACAGTTGTGCTGCACGATATGTTTGAGGAAACCGTGATACATTTTATTTTTCAGGATTCACAGATGAATAGAAAGTTCAAAAGAACAGCTTTTATTTGAAATAGAAATCTTTTGTCACATTATAAATGTCTTTAATGTCACTTTTTCCATTTAATGCATCCTTGATAAATAAAAGTATATTTTTTTTATTTTATTAAAATGATGCATATGCAAACAGATCATTAGGTGCTTTAGGAATGAAAAGGATTGTTTTCTCTCACCCAGTTCTCCAAACAACTCGACACCGAGCGCAGCATAGATGAAGAACAGCAGAACAAAGAGCAAACCCAGATTCCCCACCTGAACAAAACACACATACACACACACACACACACACACACACACACACAGACAGACAGACAGACACACACACACACACACACACACACACACA